TAGGTTGCCATTTCTTTCTGCAGAAGACCAGTTGCCATCCAAGTCTATAGAACTGGGTCAGTCCTGCTATTTACTCATAGCTGAGGGGAGAAGAAGAGAATTCATACCTTTTTGAAGGGTATTAACATGTAAGTGAATGTAATGGATTTGACTGGAATTCGAACTCGGCTCCGATTCCTCAATCCAAGCCACTATCTATTACTCCACTGAACCTACTCGCTGTTATAATATACTCAAGCATAAATAAAACAATTTACATATATTTACCTATTGTTATCAATTCTATTTCCTTATGAATCTTTTTGACATATATTTTGCAATGAAATATCTATAAAAACCCAGTCTATACTAAAATGTAATGTTTTAATCAATTTCCGGAAACATCCTGTAAACTTTTATGTTAAGAATAGTTTATTTTATAATATAAAGCACAACATAATTATATATTAATTAAGCATATAACCAGATCTTTCCTTCTTAGTAAAGAAATATTCCATTGTCAGGATAATAAGAGGTATTATTTCATGCCAATAAACCAATATGCTTCATACTACCATAATGGGTTATTTCACTAATAAGTAGGGGAAACCAGACTGCTAATAAATTATACATTTTGAAAAGTATAATTCTTTCTAAGATTCAACAATAGAGTTAATTGCAGACACAAAAATCTTAAATTACTTCAACAGAAAATATAACTAATGTAATTGCAATTATTACTTGAATATAGATCCTTTTTTGAGGATACATGCAAACTAGTATACAAACCACCTCTATTAGCAGTCATGGCCTTCGTTAAGATGGTGGAAGTTATAAATTAAGGAATGTATAACCGAAAGAGACTTTGGTCAGTGTAAAGTTCTAAAGGAAGAGTTAATTTGACCAATTGTAAGAGACTTGGATCAGTGTAAAGTTATCAACATCTAAATTATTTTAACCAACTGTAAGAGACTCAGGTAACTGTAAAGTTTTTAAGTCTGAATTAATTTGACCAAGTCTAAGAGACTGGAATCAGTGTAAAATCATCAAGGCCAAGTTAATTTGACTAATTTTAAGATACTTGGGTGAGTGTAAAGTTGTCAACATCAAAATTATTTTGACCAAATGTAAGAGACTCAGGCCAATGTAAAGTTGTTAATTTGACCAATTGTAAGAGACTTGGGTCAGTGTGAAGTTGTAATGACTGGGTTAATTTGATCAACTGTAAGAGACATTGGTCAGTTTAATGCTGTCTAAGCAGAGTTAATTTTAACAAACTCGGGTCAGTGTAAAGTTGTCAAGGCTGGATGAATTTTGAATTTAACCAATTGTAAGTGACTTGGGTCAGTGTCAAGTTGTGAATGCCAAATTAATTCGACAAGTTGTAAGAAACACGAGTCAGTGCAAAGTTGTCAACATCTGAATTACCTCAACCAATTGTAAGAGACTCAGTTCAGTGTACAGTTATCATGTCCAGGTTAATTTGATCAACTGTAACAGACTTTATCAGTTTAAGGCTGTCAAGGATAAGTTAATTTGATCAACTGTAAGAGACCCAGGTTTGTCAAGGCTGATTTAATTTCATCATCTGAAACTTGGGTCAGTGTAAAGTTGTAAAGGCTGAGTTAATTTGACCAAATCTAATAGACTTGGGTCAAAACCTGAGTTAATTTGAACAACTGGAAGACATTTTGGTCAAATTCAGGCTGTCAAGGCCGAGTTAATCAGCTGTAAGAGACTTGGGTCAGTATAAGGTTGTCAATCCCAAGTTAATTTCAGCATGTGTAAAAGATTCTGGTTAGTAAGATTGTCAAAGCTAAGTTAATTTGATCAACTGTAAGAGACTCGGGTCAATGTAAAGTTGTCAAGGCTGAGTTAATTTGTCCAAGTGTAAGGGACTTGTGTCAGTGTAAAGTCATCAAGGCTGAGTTAATTTGATCAACTGCAAGAGACTTGAATCAGAGTAAAGTTGTCAACATCTAAAGTAATTTGACCAACTGTAAGAGACTCAGGTCAGTGTAAAGTTCTCATGGTCAAGTTGTCAAGATCGACTTAATTTGATCGACTGCAAGAGACTCATATCAGTAAGGTTGTCAACGTGAAGTTAATTTGATCAATTGTAAGAAACAACTATCAGAGTGTAAATTTGTCAAGGATGAGTTAATTTGACTAACTGCAAGAAATTCACAGTTAGTGATTGTTTTGATTTGACCCTTCCATCTGAGATTTCCTAGCATATAAAAAAAAAGAAAACAACATCTATGCTTTTCCATTTTTCTCAATTCATTAGTGTATACCAAAAGTTTAATAAAGTTGAAACTTTACAGTTTTTTTTTTCTTTCCAATGATAACCCTTGTTCATATAATATTGTTTCTACAGTAATATTCAATTTAATGATGGTAGGGAGCCTGATGCACCACTGAGCAAATTATGGAATGGAGACTTTTATACCCCAGAAAAAATTCCAGCAAAAACTGTACAGTCCTATCATTAAGACTGGAATTTGCTGCACTCACCTAGCCATTTCAACTGTAAAATGATGAGACCTAGCTGCCAATCTAGTAGTACATTTAAATTCATAAAGTCTAGCTACCAAAGAGGAAAGCTCAAAAGAACAATTACCATGAAAATATTTATACAAAAAAAAACATGGAGGAGCTATGTTATGGCGGTGGGAAAGTGACTGAAGTCAAGATGCCAGGTCAGGACCAATAACATTGCAGATTTTTTTTTGGATTTTGTCAAGAATCTCTAAATACATAGAAGCACTAGACTAGATGTGGCATCAATATTCAATGTATGGAGGAATGGTAGACTTATACATATGTAAGATAGATTCTGGCAAGAAAAATTGTCTAGCATGACATATTGAGCCAACTTTCCTAGCTACAGTCCTAACAATTGATCCAATATAATCTTTCCACTTAATGTCAGCCTGAGATTAATTAGAGAAGAACCAAAGAGTCAATCTACTGGAAATTAACATCAGCTATGCTGATGGATGGCAAAAAAGGCACTAAACTGATCAGATTTACCATGAACACGGGAGTAAATAATTGTATCATCAGCAGAGATACAAAGATGAGAACTGATGAAATCAGGAAGGTTGTTGATGAGAATTTGAAACTATCTAGATTCAAGGATAGGGCCCTGGGGAGGACACCTGCCTTAATGCAAAAAAATAATCTAGAAGAGTGGCCATTTAAGGCAATTTTCATTTCATGATTTGTTAACAAAGATTGAATCAGATCAAAATTCAAACAAAAATACCATAACTTTTCAACTTGTGAAGAAGACCAGCATGCCAAACCCTGTCAAATGCCTTTAAGATATCTGAGCTTCACAATTCTTATCTAAAGCTTGATGAATTGTTAATATACCTGCAGTTGACTTAGAGAAATGAAAGTCATATTGCTTATTTAAAAGATGACCCTGCAATGTTTAACTGATTCAATGTTGATTAGAACCTTTAATACATTGCCAAAAAGAGGTAAAGGCTAATAAGCTGATAGAGGCAGATGGCTCACCTGAGTTCTTAAAGACTGGAACAACAGAAGACAATTTCCAACAAGCAGGAAAGCAAGAAACAGCAAGGCATTTATTGTCTCTACATTAAATGCATTTAGAGAGAACAGGAGCCAGTTCAGGAGCATATTTCTTAAGGACTATTGCAGGGATACCATCAAGTTTACAGGCTTTGTGGGGATCATGCTTAAAGATGATAGCAGAAACACATGCCTTTTGGCTGGGATGGCTTATCATCTCTCAGTTGCGTCTGTCTTTGGGCAGAGTGTGCTCAGAGGCTTCTCTGTCAAAGGACAGAGAGGCAACTGGGAAAATTATACTGGGGAACAGCTGTCCGAGGCTGCACCCTCCCATTGCACCAGAGAGATTGCATCGAGGCCAGTGCAACCATTAGTTGCGGGGACTGTGGGCAATTTTTGTCCCTTGCCCGGGTGTACGCACTCGGTCCCCCACTTTAAAAAAAACCTTGTGTCACATCTTGTCCTCGTGAGGGAACGAGTAAACATCGTTATACGAATTTCATTCAATAGAAACTCAGTTCTAAGTGCAAAGTCAGGCAAAAGTACTCCAGCTATCAAGAGTAGAATTTGAAGTAAATTTATGAGAAAAACATTTTGCATTATAAGCAGATGATAACACTTCAAATTGAGTGAAGAGAGGAGGGATACATTATTACAGAGCCAACAGTAGTCATGAGAACCAAACCTGTCAGAGGCTATATGGTGCTTCATTCTATCACCAAAAAGTTAAGACAGTTAAATCATTGAGGCCATAGAAGAAAGAAACTAGTAAACCATATGCTGAATAAGAAACAAGGGATAAATTTCTATTCTAATAAGCATTGAAAGAGGAATTGCCAGGTGATAAATATTATAAGTAGACCTGAGGTCATCACATCTTTGTCAGTTAAGGCCATGATCTTTGCTTCTAACTCCATGTTAGATGACAAACCCGTTCATGCCACAACCATTGTAGCAAACCACCCTCATTACCTTTGTAGTCAATTGGTAGGATGCAAGTTCTACTGAAACAGCTTCTTTCCATGAAGCACTGCTTTGTGGATGGAGACAGACTCCCAAGAGGATGCTTCCTTGATCACTACAATCTTAACCTGTTCAAGTTTAGGGCTAGCTGTTATATTCCTCATGTATTCCATAAACTCTACCTCTCACTCTGTAACCGAGTGGCTCTCAGGCATTGTACAGAATGAACATTATTGTAAAAGAAAATAAATAAATTAAAAATAAATGAAACTAACCTATTACGGAAATATAAATCATTAATTTAGTATCCAATTTTTAAAAAAATATTACGTAATATTTTTTCTGATAAATACCTTAGTTTTAATGTGTTTTATGATTTAACTAAAATTTCACTCAAGTAAAAATATTTCTACTAAACTAATAGAGAAAATTTAAACCAGTGACTGAAAATTAATTTACAGTAAAGATAGTGAAATCCTACATGATTACAAAGAAAATGATAATGACTTTACCAGATGATGATCCAGGGATTCCAGTGGCAAGTTGCATAGCCCATGTTGGAGAAGGCTGACAAATTGAAGAATTTGTACAAGATTTCTCGGATGCATTTTCTAATGGTGGTGACTCACTTTCCTCTTCATTAAAACCACGTTCCTTTCGAAGATGTATTCGAACATCAGCATAACTAAAGAGAATCAAAATAACAATTTTAGTCATTAACAAATTGAGATAAGTAAAATATTTTGCTACATTTAGTAAATACTAAGAATAAATCTTCTTTGTTATTGTGTCACTTTTGTATACGTTTTTGTGCGATAATATTGGGATTTTTAATAGAACTTATTAGTTTAATTTTTACAATTCAATATTAATCAGTACAATTATACTATATTCAAATATGTTAAATGCTATCAAATTTAAGTTTTTTATTCTTTGCAATGCAATAAAAATAAGAAATTTGACTTTCATTAAAGGTACTTCTGGGGAGAAGGGTGGCAAGACACCCATCTGGAGTAAAAACAAAACCTGTCAAAGGACAGATGAACCATCTTGTAGGGTCAATGGTTATCTAGTACAATGGAGTAGACAGGACTTCATAACTGCATATGCAGCCAGTGCAGTGATGGCATTGTTGAACAAAGAACTTCCTAGAGTGAATTAAACATCCAGGATGAAGTGCTACCCTGATGCCCATGTGTTTGTTGCCATGGCAAGCACCTACCCAGCTTTTCTGGTGATGGTTAGAAGGGTTTAAAGACAAGACCTGTCAAAGGGTAAATGAGCTTTCTAAATAGGGGTCAACAACCATCTAACATAATGGGGTATAGACTGGGTTCCATAGCTACTTGTGCAGACAGTGCTGGGGAGTTTCCTAGACTGAAATCAGTAGCAGAGGATTACCTAGATGGAATCAACAGCCATGTGTCTGTTGCCAAGGGGTGCCTTCAGACACTGGCTGTTGTTTGATCCATAGAAGGATGGACTCTGACAGGTCTACTTGCTATGCCTGAATCAATACCTTTCTGGCTTTCAACCCAGATAGGTGTTCAGCTATGCAGCCACACCATATAACTACAATCAGTCATGTGACTGATGATAATGATTATACTTATATGCTTCTCTATTTGTGGACCGAGATAAATCTAGGAATCTTTCTTTAATATTTCGAACATTATTGATAGAAATTAAAATTTGTTTTTTAAGCTGTCCTCTCGTTCTAAAAGATAAAATGTCTCGTAATCATCACCAATAGTCTTTCATTTTATTGTTTCAAAACTTATTAATTTTTTTTTTTAAATAATAAAGTGCATACCTGATAACTTTATGAGTACACACAATAAATTCAGGTTTTGAATTCCATTGGTGATAAGTAATGTAATAACGGGTCTTTAACCAAATCCACTGTTGTCCTTTGGTTAAAAATCTGTAAAAGCAGGAAGTGCCTTCTCCAGCTTGCATTACTGTAAAAAAACAAAAACACAGGTCTGAATATCTTATATTTGTAAATATTATTTACTTGTTTCAAACACTTTTTGTTACTTATTAGTTTATTTTTCAAGTACATCACAATCATTTAACAAGTATCAATAAATTTTAAAGGTAACTTTATTGCTCAATCATTCTTGCATTCCATTTCACTAAAACATTTTTAATTGTCACTTTAACCATCACATGTAAAACAAATGGTCTTGCAAGAAAGCAACTGTCATAAATTTAAAAAATGTTTTTATTCAATATTTTATTCCAGTTTTTTTTTTATTAATTATCCTTTTTATTTTATGTCTGTATTTTTGTGACAAATAATGTGCAGCATTCAGTCAGTTATGTGCCATGTGTGATACACACTTAGGCAATCATGTATCTTTCGATACATGACTGACAAGGCAGATTTTTTCCCCATGGTAGGTTGCCATTTCTTTCTGCGGTAAACCAGTTGCCAACCAAAGCTATAGAACCCAGTCTGTCCTGGAATTTATCCATAGTTGGGGGGGAGAAGAGGATTCATACCTTTCGCAAGGGTATTAGCATGTAAGTGAATGTAATGGATTCGATTGGAATTCAAACTCGGCTCTCTGATTCCTCAATCTGAGCCGCTATCCATTACTCCACTGTGCCTCCTGCAGTATTACATACTAAAAAAGAAATGAAATATGATTATTTGTTCTTTACAATTTTGTTTTAATATTAAGTCTGTATTAAATATATTTAATATAAAAAAATAAACTATTTAAATTTCCAACTATATCAAAATTGTCCATTCTAATCTGCAATAAGATTAGATTAATCCTAAGATCAAATTAATATTGTTCTCTAACTTCTGACCAAATGTGTTGTCTTATATTTCTAAATTTTTTCTCTGATTCAGGATCACAAGACCCATAACTCTTTAGGGTCTAAGGTGCACCACATATACTACAGCCATAGCAGCAGGGGTGTGTCTTGGGTAAGATAGCCTGACAGAACCCAAACCTCTTCAGGCTGGTTTGAATCCAGAGTTTTCCTTCTCCTAGACTAGTTGCCAACCAAGGTTATGGACCCCAGTCTGTGCTGCTATTTAACCATAGCTGGGGGGAAAGAAGAGCCAAATTCATACCTTTCTCAAAAGGTATTTTCACATAAGTGAATGTAATAAACTCAACTGGAATTTGAACTTGGCTCTTGGATTTCCTCATTCCAAGTCACTACTCATTACACCACCCACACACCCATCATTTCTCTGATTAGCATAGTGAATATAAAACAGTTTATCAGAATTTTATACAATTAAAAATTTTCTTATAGATGTTCACTTCAAAAACGACAAAAAACTTTCTTGAAAAAGTAATCAGTGTAATGTTAAATTTGTGACAAAAACAACAAAAGACCTAACACAGAAGCATATCTTTTTAAATACCTGATAAGAAACATTGTAAAAATACTACTGTGAAATACTATTTACTCTTACATTGAAAAATCTTGAAAATTTATAGAGAATCAAAGTAGTGAAGTGTTCTGAAATAAAGGAATTTTTTTTTTTACCAAAAATCTATCAATAAAACAGAAAAGAAAGGATTATGTAACATTATAAAAATGTGGCTTTTGAATTTGATAAATTGGAAAATTAAAATTTTGTAATGAACTGTCTATAAAAATGATTTTCTGTGAGTAATACAAATAGAATTCAAGTGTTTAAATGAAAAATATAATGTTTTGGTCTTAATATACTACAAGACAAAACTAAAGTTGAATTTTACCAAAAAGAAAAATCAGTTATTAGAAAATGTTTGTAGAATTATTATTTGAAAAGATCAATAAAGAGAAAAAAAAAGAAGAAAAAATAAAAAAAAGAAACTTACACTGAGTATGGCAAGCTGATAGCTTTTCTAAGTCATCAGGATGATAATAATCATAGCCTGATGTCCCAAGCACTTCAAAAGGCAAGTAACCAATTATAGGAGGAGCCCTTTTCAATAATTAAAAAAAAAAAAATTTCCAGATTAATTCAACATGCGTGCACAAGCACGTTTAATATTCAAACTTCATAAATTATTTTATTATATATAAATTATGATTTAAATCAAATAATATTTCTTTGTTGTGCATATCTTCATATATGCAACATAAAAAACATCAAAAGAAATATTCTAACATTTATGATTGAATATTATAAAAGTAAGGTACTAATTATAATTAAATAATACATTGAAAATAATTTTTTTTTTACAATTATTTTATTCAAATGATTTTAAAATATCTTTATAAACAGAAAATTAGCAAAGGAAATAGGCTAAATTCTACAATTAAGCCTGGGATTAATTAATATCAAAACAGACATTTTTTATTTTTTTAATAGGTTTCACCACATGTAAGGCAATAAAGCCACTAAGATACAAAGGGTGTGGAAGAATTAGGAACAGCAACATCAATAATAAGCAAAAAGAAAAGCGTAATCAGGAGGATAGTACAAACCTAATGTTTTAGAGGAAAAAGTTTATTAGAGTAATTTCAGTTCTATAATTAATACACTAATTATATTTGGATGAAGTCTGTATGGAAATTTTTGTTTCATATGAATTTTTATCAAAGATTATAAATATTTTAAAAGAATTCTTACCTGTGATCAAGAAACAAGAATTTCCATTCAAAACTATGCCGTGACGTGAATTCACTTTTTGACTCATCGATATTTGACATTTCTCTGATAAGCTGGCAGGGTTGTAATTGGACAGTACAACAAAAGCAGGACGACTCATTTATATTCTGAGAATAATCTTTGGAAAACTTTATTATACTGTCTTCTTTGAATATAAATGCAAAAAAAGAAAAAAATGGAATTGAATAAGGCTTAAAATGCAAAAACAATATTATTGTAAAATTAGCACAAGCCTTTTCAGTATTCTTTCAAATTACATGGAAATACTGAAAGTATACAATAGATTTTAAATTATCTTAAGGGTGTGACTTAAAACTAAGTAGGAAATAAATTGTAAATATAGTATCTTTATTGATATGTTGTAGATTGAAAAAGTTGGAAATTAAAATATATTTTTATTAAACAAGTCAAAAACTTAGAAAAATGTGATTGAGAGAGACTATGGAGACTATGAAATGGCTAAAGAGCTGGTCCTTTTCTAACATAACAAAATTCACTTTGAATATTTAAGTGAATTTGATAATGCTAAAAACAGACTCATAGAAATAGCAGATTGTTATGTTAGATAAAAGAATTTGAATGCAACAACAAAATTGTCATTAGTAGAATATATTCCTTTGCATACTACATTTATTTTTGATAACAGAATTTATATGTATGTTAGTATACAAAAATAAGTTTTGCAAATGTAAAAAAAAAGGAATACCATTTGAATAAATCAAGCAACAGAAGCTGTGGACTGAAATCATAACTATACTTAAATTGAAAATTTAAAAAACTATATGTTATTTAGATTATAATTATAATCTAAATAAATCAAAATCTATATTGAGTAAGTTCACTTCTGAATGTTTATTTTTTTTGTTTTATTTAATGGCATATCAACTCATTCATGGTTCATTTAATGTGAAAATTTAATTTTCTTGGACACTTTGAAGTAATAAAAATATATGGTACATGTTATTCTGCTTTCACAATTGAATACATGGTAGATGATACTCAACTTTTGTGCATATACATATTTGTGGGGACATAATTACTCAAGGCAGTGATATGTGTGTTTTATGTTGTAGTTTTGTTGACGTTATATTTTGGAACACAGTTTGATTTCTTTAAAAAATTGTAGGATATTATATGGATTAATGTCATGAAAGAGTTTTTTCATGTTGGTTGAGTGGTTGATTTTGTTTAGTGGCATATCAACACCTTTATGGGTTATTTAATGCCAAAATCTAAATATTTTGTATGCAATTATATGGATGTAACTACAGCTAAAATGTATTGCTGGTCATTTTTGCTACAAAAATGTATTCTTCCACTTTCATAGTATTGTTTTTGTTTGGAGGTTCACTATTTTCCCATAGCTGGGACCCTAACAGGTGCTACCACCTCGGGTCAGGGTGGATCTAGGAACAGCAGAGGTGGTTCCACGCTCTTCAAAACCTCTAATGTCCGATCAGAGGCCTTGCTGCTGGATGTAGTTTATCATCATACCCAAGACTATTGAGTTTTTATTACTTTGTTATGTTTATAAATGTTATAAAGAAAAGATTAAAATATCAACAAATACATTTTCTCTGCTGCAGTTAAAATTCGATTAAACATCAACCTGTTCTATTAGATGAAAAAGATAACGTTTTACATATATTTATCGCATCTTCAAGAAAAGGAAAATTAACAGGAATGCTATTAAAAAAGTTTTTCAAGAGGCACAGAGGAAGAGAAAAATATATTAATACTTACCACAATTTGACCATTTTCTTAAGTTGCCCGTTACTTTTACATATTCAAAGACATCCTGGACTGCAGGTACGGCAGCTCCCCTCTTCAAGTGGCACATAAAAGACACCTGGTTGTCATCTGCAATAAGTAAATTCTTCGGTTCACAAAAAAGAACTATTCATGTTGGTTCCAATCTGTATTGGAATGTATATTTATTGTAATATAAAATTACAATTGTGGTACAAGGCCAAAGGGGAAGTGGGGTGAGGATGGTCATCACTTACTATCCTAAACCTGGATAATCTGAATCATGACCTATTCATTCATTACATTTCATTCAAGTACAAGAACTCGTCCATTGCCATTCAATCTATCATATACCACATATTCACAGGCATCCTACTAAAACACTCATAACATAAAAATTTCTCAATCTGTATGTGTTTGTTTCTTACAAAAATATATAAAAATATTGATTCATGAAATGAGGGAGGGAGGAGGGATTAACCCAAAAATAAACCAAAACATTCAAAAAAAAAAAAAAAAAAAAAAAAAAAAAAATTGTGTTAGTAAGACCTGTCCATCCCACAGAAAAATAAGAGCAGAATTTTTGTTAATAAGCAGAATCAAGAAGCTTGCTTACTAAAGGCAGGGGAAAGATAAAGTGGAGAAATAGATATATCAAAGGGAGACAAAAAAAAAAAAAACCAAAAAACGGAGAGGTTGGGAATCTTGACATGGATCACAACAAAAGAGAATGCTAGGAGCAGGCTGGAAACAATAATTACTCACATTAACTAGGTTAACCAAAAAGACTCTAGCAAACCAGGGCATGACATGAAACCACCTTATTGTGCCAAAGGGAGACTAAAAAAGAAAATCAAGGCTGGCCCCATTCACAAAAATAGGCTCATGACTTTCACCCACCTTTCGCTGAAATCTACCAATAACAAATATTTTCTATCAGTTCTGATCTTCATCTTGAATTGTTGTGCAACAAATCCAACCAGATCCTGATGAGAATAATTGTAAGATTCCCTGCATCCACAACTTCTGCACCACCATCCTTGCCATGGCTAGCAGCATCAGAAACACCATCAGTTTCACCCCAGAACACGGGGACAACACATTATCACATGTGTATGCAAGATCAATAGACATAAGATGTCTGGGATCAATACAACTTGCCAACAGTCTCAGAATGGGTGCACAGGGGTTTCTTCTAAACCAAATTCACACTGATAGCAGTTGGACATATCTGCCCAGCTTGCACAGAAAGCCACATCACTGAGTGATAATGGGTTCTAAATCAGTCGCCTAGTGAGTGAAAACTCAGGGTTGTGAAGTAATTTGCCGCTGGCCCCCGGGACAAAAAAAGAGTGAAAATTGGTCACCGACAAGTCAAGCTACCCACAGAATGGGTTTGACAACCTCCTCCACTAGCTACTGATGCAAGATCATCCTAGGCCATGAAAAGTCACTGAAACAAGGAGTCACATGCAAGACCTAGGATGATCTTAAAGGGGTCAGTTATTTCATTTGCTATCCATCTTGCCTTACTGTCTTTCAATTTTTTAACCCTAGCCTCAGCTGCAAAACAATGAATCCAAGTCTTGACAAATTCTGGTTAGTCAAAGTGACTTAAGCATTCTATTGGCGATAATATATTGTTGTTCTATGACATGTGATCAGTAGTCAACTTTTCTCCTACCTGACTCTTTACTCTACACTTTATTTCTCCTATAATCAATGTATGCAAATGGGTAAAATCCTATTTGCCAATCCCATTAGAATAGGTAATCACATGTATATTTAAATTCACATGAAATGATTATTTTCATTGGAAAGTAAATTTAACATTTTGAAGTCAAGATTACACTCATCACTTCATATTTCCAGATAATTAAGACATGTCTAATAATTAGATGAAGGACAGGAATTTGAATTGTTCCTTATTCTTTCTTTTAAAAACATTTTATACATAAAAGGGAAAAACAAATAAAAGAATGGAGAGAAAAATATCAATAATAGTCATATGTTTAGAAAGGATAATAATACTGTAGAAACAACTTTAAATAACGTTTATAAGAAATTCTTTAAACAAAAATTTATTATTGAATATCATCATACTAATAGTACCATACTAGTAGCATCATGCTAAGATCACCATACTAATAGAATCAACATCAATGTCTGCCCTCCAGTTACTGACCATAATGAAGAAATCAAGAACTGTTACATGCAACTTCAGGACATTATCAGCCAAGTAAACAAGAAAAACCTAATTGTTCAAGGAGATTGGAAAGTTGGCCAAGAGTCAAGAAAAGATTGAGATTATTGTGGTCCATCTTGTAATGACATCACCAATGAGAAAGTCAGATGTCTTCTTGAATTTGCTAGTTATAATAACCTAGTAATGGCTAATAGGAATCTTGATGTTGGACTTGGCATCTACCAAACAGAATCCATCATAACCAGATTTACATTCTAGTCCAGAGCAGTTACCAATTAGCCATCAATAAAGCAAAAATGAGGAGTGACCATGATTATGAACTCTCAAGTTCTGTAGTCAAAGATTAAGAAGAAGGACATCAAAGTCAAATTCAGTATCAACCATCTAAAGGACCCCACCATCTGCAAGTCATTGTCAGTTAAAGAATTTGTGAGTTTTGTTTTTTCTGCACAAATTGAAAAAAAAAAAAAAAAAAAAAAAACGATCTGGAAGAAATACAGTGAATATTTGAGTCACACTTAGTGACAACAGAATAAAAAAAATGGAAAGGATACTTTGGTGACTACAAACTTGTGAATAGACACTTTAAATAATTTTTACATTTTATAGAATAGTGCAATATTTTCTATTCTAGAGTGTACCTACGAATGTATATATATTTATTATTTTCTCAATCAAATAAGGTTTGTTATTTAAATTTATTTTATCCTTTCTTTTAGTTCACACACAAACACATTACATCAAATCATTTGCCAGCATTTGTTCAATATTGTTCATTTTCTGCTTTTGTTACACGAGTTTCCACATATGACAAATATGTCTGAATAATCTTACCTACATTATGATTGCTTGATCTATATTAATAAAAAATATATTTTTTTAATTGAAACAAGTTAAAAGTTTGACATTCTTTCATCAATATTGTAGAAAAATCACATGGTAGAGATAAACACTTAGTTGTGGAGCAAGCTAAGTGAACAATAATCCAACCTTTAGAAAGAGAGCTATTTATGTTGCCATAGAGCATCTCATTGTGCTAAAGTGGGATAGTCCATTGCTTGGGCTGTGATTGGCTGCTGGTACCTGAGTGGAGGTATTTCTATATAAATACCAGCTTGATTCATCTGTTACTTTGCAGGGTTTGCATTAAGTTTAACCCCCGTGTTTGTTTTTGGTGTACGTTAGTCAAGCGAGCGAGCAAAAGTTTTGGAAACTGCTACGATTTGTTAAGTTTTTGGTTTTATTTTTTTTATAAACCCTTTCTTTTATTTTTCAGTTTGACTTTTATTTGATTTTTTGGTATATAAGTGTACATTTTGTTCTTTTTTTTGTTTTTGTTGATTTCTCTTCTTACCTTTTTTTCCCCCCTCCTCACCGTTTTTTGTTTTCATTCCGTATTTATTATTTGAACTGTTTTTTGTTTTTGGTTATCCCCGTTTTTTCTTTTCGTTTTATTCTGTTCATGTACATTACAAAAATTACTTAAAAAGGAAACAAATCTGTTTTGTTCGGCGTGGTGGGCCGAAAAAAAACCCATCATGGCCGAAAACAAAGAAAACAATACACCGCTCCCGGACACGGTGTCTCCCGATAAAACGGCCTGGTCGAAAAATAGGCCGCTTTCAAAAGATCCGGAGTTCTACAGAGAGCAAAGAAAAAACTTTGAAAACTCGTTCAATGGTAATGAGTTTTTAACCATTAAGGAAGTGTTTGATGCCATGAGCACCCGCACTATTTCCCTGTTGACAGCCGACGTCAAAACGCGGAAATTGATTGAGTCAGCAGGAAAACATGGAAGAGGCATTGAAAGCCTTAAGTATAAGCCCCAAAGTTCTAGCAAGAAGATCAAATGCCCTTTGGGATATCTTACTGGCAACAGAACAGCAAGCGAAGGAACTAGCAGGCAGTATCCTGATATCCAAAAACCTGCGCCTGCAAACCCGAGTACATGGGTACTCGGAGAACTAAAAGTAACCATCCATGGAGTGCCGGTAGACATCCCGGAAGACAGGATGGGGGCCTTCTTTTCCAAATATGGAGATGTTCACGAAGTGAAGGCCCTCGCAAGTAAATGTGGAATTGCTACAGGTGACATGGAGTTGCAAATCACGGTAAACCAGGAAAATTTTCGTGATATACCCAATGTCCTGGTGTGCCGAAATAAAAGGATGTTGGTAATAGTTGAGGGCAGGCGACCATTCTGCTGGTCATGCGGCGTTTTGGGGCACATGGCCAAAGAGTGCCCTGGGAAGAAACCAAGTCAACCATCCGCCTCAGCAACAACAGCAGCGACAGTGGTGGTGAAACCAACAGCAACGGGGTCAAGCTCTAAACCTGTGGAGGCCAAACCAGTGGATGGAACCTGGAAGGAGGTGGTGAGGGGTCGAAAATCCCCTAGTAGTCAGATCCCCCAGGAGGCACCCCATCCTAAGAAGCCCCAAGAAGAGAAGCCCCAAGAAGAGAAGCTGCCACAAAAGGAGGTTCAGTCTCCAAAGAAGGCTCAAGGGAAACAGTCTGACAAGAAGCAACAACAACAGCAGCATAATAAAAAAAGCGAACAGAAACAGCAGCAACACCAACCCCAACAGCTGGAACAGCAGCAACACCAATCCCAACAGCTGGAACAGCAGCAACCCAAACAACAGGAACAAGAGCAACAGATGGAGGTGGAACAAACGCCGCCACCTCGGGCTACATCCCTCAAGAGGTCTAGGGAGGAAGAAGACGAGGAACCTCCACAAAGGCAGCACGACCAGGGTAGGGTGGAGAAGGTCATGGAGAGATCCAGGGCAGTCTCCATCCCTGCTTCGTTTGATGATGCTGAGGAGGCCAAAGAAACAACAAGAATCAGGCGGCATTCTTCTTCCCCGTCCCCCATTTTACTTCCCCTCCTCCCTCCACTTCT